ATTATCTTGTCATAAGATGGTGTCTTCTTTGTCAATGTTTGATTACTGCATGCTTTTAAGCAGACAATCTGCCAAAATTGAGATGCACTGCTCTGCATCTATCCTCCCCTCCATCTCACAGAGAATTTTCTCCCCTAGTTCACCTCATACAACCCCATACCATCAAGTTTTCTCCTTCAAACTTAAGTGTTTTCTTGATTTCTCTTTGTCCTAGTAGTTCTTCTGCCTTTTTCCATACATATTCCTGGCTATCTGACCCCATTCTATTGATTTTTGTCTCATCTGACCAGATAGCCTTATTCCATTCCTCAAAGTCCAATACTGGTGCTTTAGAGCAAAGGCTAGTCTCCTCCCTCTATAGGCTGAAGATAGGATAAGCTTTTCTTCTTAGTTATAACTTCAAGGTTGGCTGCCTTGAGAGCATTCCTGACTATTTGAGTGGAGACAGTGGTGTGGATAATAGAATAAATGAATTTGATGGCTTGAGTAGTATTAGCAGCCTGCCCAGTCAAAATATAATACCCAAAAGATCTTTTGCTATATGGTATGAGCTTAAAAAGGTGATTTAATTTGATATTTTTCTTATCTGGAATGGTCTTTTTGATGAATCTAGCAATAGTATCCCTGCTCAGGCCAGTTCTAGTAGAAATCTGCCTGTTAGACAGATAAGAGGAGCTGAAGATGAGAATAAGGGCTATTTCAGCTATGGGAGAGTTACAGCACAGTGAGGGAATATTACTAATGGATAATGCTAGGAATTGATAGATAGTGTGTTTATAAGAGTGGTAGAAGTGATTAGAGCAAGAGAAGGCAACACTAAGTACTAGAATTATAGAGATTATATTGGTCAAATTCAAAGTCAAAAAGTGTCCCAATGAGTCATCAAATTAAAATGTCCATATCTTCATACAATAACATCGGATTCTCATGCTACAGGGGACAGCGATAAAGCCAAGAGGCAGAGCATTCTGACACCTCCCTATAGCTTGGTCAGATTCCCACACCCTGACTCACAATGAAGCAATTGCATGAAAACCCACAAACATTGGGACACTTTTTTGAGCCACTATACATATTGTCTCATTTGCTCCAAAGCATATTTTCAACAACAGCATTAGTCTCAGGGTTCTCTATCATTTTGCCAAAATTGACCCAGTCGTTGTGCAGCCCGTGGTGTGAGTGGTACCAACTTTACAATTAACTCATTCCATTAATTGCCAGACTACTAGATATTGGGTCAATCGTCACAGGAGTGTTGAAGCTCTCAGGTCCTTTTTGGCATGCAAGGAATCTCTTCTGGAGCAAGAGTAACAGTGGCTCTTCAACATACAGGCCAACTATGTTCTTGGTGATGCCGTGAATGTCACAAGGTTGCCTTCCATCCTCATCTCAAATTTTACATTCAACTCTGGATACAGCTTTCTTTCAACAAAATTCATTAGACCAAGTCAATGCACCTCTAGGAGATGAACTTTCAATTGATAACCACACTTCGGACTGTCTGATCTCAGGCAAAGAGCTTAAACCATTGGTTCAACAAACATATTATGGTTAGCGCTGCACAGACCTTCTTGTTTGACTTCCTGGATGTATACCCATTCTATTATTCTCGACCTCCCCATTGTTACCGGCACCGCAGCTGGACTAACCAGGGCAGCAACACGCTCCTAGATGAGATTGTAGCTCATCTTGTTCAGAAACCCACCACACATGTACTCCATTTTTTGATACCTTTCGCCAACTCACACCCTCAGAAACTGTTTGCATGTCGCATCATCCAAGCTCCCCTTCTCGTTCATGGTATTAGCAAGGGGCTAGACACAGTTTGCTCCCTCATTGGTCAATCCTGACTTCTTTTGTCGCTTGGTGTCCCTGAGCACCTACATAATCCGGATGAGACAAAGATTCTAATTGTTTCATTTGGCAGACAGGTCTCCCAGAAGCTGACTTCTAGTTGTGGGAGCAGCATGGGTCACTCAAGTCCAGGATGCAAAACACCTCAAATTGATCCTCCATTGGAGCCATGGCAGATCCCTGATAGCCCACAAATGTCAAAGATCTGTCCTTGCAGTGACGCTCTCAGCAAAATGGACATGTCATACAGCTCTTACAGCACCCCCCATTTAACCCAGGCCAGCTGAATGACTACCAGCATCCAAATCCAGCAAGACATTATTCATCATTTCACTGAGTAAATTGTACTCTCACCATCACAATACTGCTGAGATATTTCAGTGCAGGCCGTGCAGCGTGCGATGCCCCTCCATCTTTTTCAACACAACACCTATCTTCAAGTCCCAAAGGTTACCATTCATCACTTATCGGGGAAACTGCGACCACATCTACATCCCCCTCATGATCTTCAAAAACTTGCAGGGATGTTGTGCTTGGAATGAGCTGTGGCATTTTACTGGAGGTTAATGGTGTTGAGCACAGTTGAGGGATTGTGGGTGTCTTTCTCTAAGCTGCAGAGGTGCATGTATTATGCTGTTTCATCATGCTAACCTACCTCATTTCTATAGACGCCCAAGACACAAGGTCGTTTGCACCACACTCTATCACCGTTTCAGCATGAATGCTCCCCATGAGTCATGCATTGAGACGGTGGAATGGCGCTTGACTACTTGCCTCACATATCCATCCTCCAGCCTATCATCTCATTTGCATGCAACCACAGCACTCTGGGCTGCCTCAAAGACACAATCGCGAACTTGAAGAACAGCCATGGTCAAGAGTAAGTGTATCTTGCAGTGTAACATTCAGATGGTTCCCTTACAATGCTTTCAGGCTACATTATGTGTATGCCCAAGGTCCAGAAGACAATTTACTATGTTACTAGTGAATCCCTTGCAGCTGTCAGACGGGCGGGTCATCTTTACAGCCATGTAGACATGGTGAACTTGGCGTGGCAACTTAAACCACATGAATTTCCGCTTGGGGATAAGTTGTCTGCGAAGCTACCCAGAACCTGTCAGCACATTCCAGCGTTTAGTCAAGATCATGGCGCTGTACTACAACAAGATGACATTTTATATGGAAGTCATTGGCAGTGTGTCAACCGGGACGCCAATGGGGCAAGTCTAACTTGCTTGCTGCTATTGTGTCGCAGATGCTGCTTGGGAAGCTTGGTAGTGTGTTATGGGAGGCATTTTCTGGGTCTGGGCCTAATGCTGGATCGCCTCATTTGCCTGTGCATGTGACTTAGTGTATAGCTTACAATAGATATTGAATTTGCTTTGCATCACATCGTGCACTTCCGAGAGTCAGAGGGCGATGATATCAGGCTTGAGTTAGACAAGGAGCAGGATGGCAAAGGTGACAAACAGGACAAGGAGGACAGTGATAGCTCATGATGATGCTTGGACGATGTGGTGAAAGAAATAGTAGTCAGCTAGATATACCAACAAACTTACTAAATCCTAATGGGTGTGAGTGCAGTACTTCGACCCAAGGGGACTGCTATTGAAGCACTTCCTTCTAATAGTGCGAGGGAAGAGAAAGGAAGAACTAAGCTCTAAGGCCTGAGATATCCGACCGACCGAAGGTCCGAGTCCGAGAATGTCCGACGCAATATGGGATACCGATGGTACACCCGATGCGGAATACCAATGCAAGATGCCAATGCAAGATACCGATGCAAGGTGGGGAGTCTGATGCCGATGAGCGGCACGTAAGTCTAGGCCGAGGTAAAGAGAGTCCAGGTATAACTAGATATGATGAGGTAAGACTAGGTATGGGTTGCCGATGTAAGACTACTGGTAGCGGTCCGGATCTCACAAGGCCTAGGTAAAGAAACCTTAGATAGAGTGCACTTAGAGTGGTCAAGGCACGTCTGATGATAAAAAGCAAGGGGGATCAATTTGCACAATCAAGGACTAACTAAGGTGACTCCTACAACGGTACCAGGTATGTCTGAGGAAGGGAAGTAAGGGATAATACGAACTTGAGTCCTATTTATCTAACTGCGTGAACGTTCGGAATCGCACAGGTGAGAGTAGTAGTGAAATGCGATGTAGAGACTCGATCCTGAGTAGCCTCACAATGGCATATATTGCACTGTAGGTCGAGTCTACAATACTATGCATGCAACGCGACACTAGTGCGATAAACGCGACGTTCGCGCGCGACTTAGGCGACACTTCCGCGACATAGGCGACACTTCTGCGACTTGCGCACGCTTTAGGCGAATTTTCCCGCGCCTAAGCGCTATAGGGCGCCTGACTTCCCACTGTGTTTTCCCATGTCCAACCAAGTTCCCAGGTATGCATTTCTCCATTTATCATTTATTTCAACATCGTACCATGTTTATTTTCACTTGGTACACATTTTTCATTACACATTTTTTTTACTTAACACAACACACATTACCACGGACCACCACCATGATAGACAGTCACCATCTCCAAGTTTTTATTATGTTTTGAATAAATCATCGCAAGCCCTAGTAGCAGTTAGCTCTAGTGGCCATATCCGCATCAGTTGTCTTATCAGCGTCTCAGTACACGTCTTAACATCTCACTATCGCTCGCATACCGCTTTCACCCAGTTCCGCTTTTCGACGCGCGACTATCCCGCGCTTCGCGCGCCTATAGCGCCTTTGTTCCCGCGCTTTCGCCTTATCACGCGCTTTGCGCATTCCCCCTAGAGTTGACCAGTGGATATTTGCTTTCTCCGCTTCCCCTAAGGGACGAACATATCGCACTCATATTTTCCTCCCTTCAACAATTATATCAGCTGCACCCTCAGCTGAGTTGAAGATCCTTCAACTGGAGCCCACCGCAAGGGGATCAGTCAGCACATCCACACATATCCAACTCCATTCCACTCTACTCCACTATCCGCATATCCGCTTCCCACATTTTCGCCTTATTCACATTATCGCGTTTCCGCCTATTCCGCCTTTCGCTATTCCGCCTATTCCGCGCATCCGCATATCCGCCTTTTCCGCTTTTCTGCCTAAATCGTGAAATTCGCGATTTATGCCCCTTCGCTTTCGCACCATGAACACGCCAGTAGATTCCTTTGGCATGCCTTTGCGCACCTGCAGCGCTGCTCCACGTTTTGGAGGTGACTACACCCAACTGGTCAACTTCCTGGAGTCAGTAGAACGACTCGCGCAACCACTTGGGCTGTCAGATAAGGACATTATCAAGTATGCCTTGAAGTATTCTGCGCCTAATGAGAGAGAGGTGTTCCAGTGCTATGAAGGTAACAACACCTATGAAGATTTTGCTAACTTCGCCTTGTTCATGTATCCAGAATGCGCAATTAAGCGCTACACGCGCCCTACTAGCGCGATTTCCGCTATTCCGCTTCCGCCCCTTGAAGCGTCCCCTAAAGCGCCACCTGTAGGTGCGCCTCAGCAACCAGAACGCGCCCAAGATCAGCTAGTAGCAGCAGCTATGGCGCCAATATGCGAAATACGCGAAACCCTTCCCCTTCCGCCTACTCCAACATTGCCTATCATTGAAATCGTGTTCGCACCAGCACACATCGAGGCGCCTATTGTAGGCGAACCTACAGAGCATCAGAGCGACACAGAAGATCAGTTGGACGAAGTGGTTTCACCCCAGCTCGACATATGTGAACCTACCGCTATCGCGAACGTGCCAAATGCGCTACCAGACGAGATCACGCCATCCATCATCAGCAATGACCTTCAACCCCAATCGCATTTTAGCGCGCCTATTCAGGAGCATTCTGCAGTGACAGAGCTCCAAAATGCGCCTCATTTCAACCACAGTTTGTCTCTACTAAATCCGCTTGTTACTGACAATACCGCGCATATCGCGTTTTCCGCTTTCAGCGACTTCCACTTGCCAGTCAAACACCCATGTATCAAGTCACCCACCCACCAAGTAGAACATGTCTCAGGCGACCCTGACACGCCTCCAGTGCACCCTATGGCGCCTGAGGTCGCACATGTCACGCACTTTGAGGCACTGTATATTCAACCTTCGCTCATTTCGCCTTTTTCGCTTATTTCGCGTTTTTCACTCTCATTGAGTTTTTCATCAGTTGCTAATGCTTCGCCTTTGCCTTCATTTAAGCTTACCATTATTCCCTCACTCAGGCGCCACAGTCGCGCGCCTCACGCCTTAATTCACGCGCCTAAGGCGCCCATCATTACATCAAAGTTTTCCCTCCATCGCATTTTTACCACTTTATCATTTTTAAATTGCATTCCTCACATTCATCATGACCCATACTTCAATCAGCCATTCAGGCGCGACTTAGGCGCGCGCCTGACACACATACATCCGCCTACATCATCCATCATTACATTTAACATTGCACCATCTGTCCTTATTCACATTTTTCGCATTTTCGCTTATCGCATCCATAACATCCTTTCATTTTATATCAAGTACCATTCATTCATGATCAGGCACCTATGTCGCCTTGATATATCATTCATACTCATCATTCGCGTCACATTCACGCCTAATTTCACTGCACATAGATCACTCACTAACGCATTTTCGCTATTTCAGCCTATCCTCGCGCATACAGAGGATATAATCATTTTCGCGCCTAAATGCGCTAACGCGCCAGCATCGCCTATCGCCTATCGTGCTGTAGCGCCTTTCAACCACTGTCGCCTCGCCTCGCCTTGGCGCGCGCCTAATAGGCGCCACCAAGTGCAAGAGTTCATCCCACCAGTCACTAGTCCGCCACTATCGCGAGTTTGAAGAAGATTGGTTTATACCTGGTTGAAAAAGTTGTTGCGAAGTCTTGAAGATGAAGAGTACACCATTCCCTGTCGCTTAACACTGTCGCCTCACGCGCTTTCGCCTCGCGCCTCATCCGCTTCAACCGCTTCAACCATCATTTTTGCGAAAAATCACCATATACCGTGTTTTTTCATAGCATATAGTTTGTTTTACCCTGGTTTTTGTCCAGCGCTTTTCTCCTTTCATTTTTCTCATCATTACATCGCCTCAAACACTAATAAAACACTGACATATATACTCATAGATCCGCTTAGCAGAAAACAACAAAAACAACAAAACAACTATAGACTCGTGCCCACCTAACCCAGTAGGATATTATTTTCGCTTCTAACGCATGCTGTGGCACCATGCACATTTACCTTTGAATAGTCCCCTATAGCGCCTCATTCTCGCGCGCGCGCTTTTTTCGCGCTTAGCGCATAGAAGGACATAGATGTTGATAGTTGCACGAAGAAGACAAGACGGACAGGACATCCGCAAAGTTTACCATTTCACTTTCGCTTTTTCACTTATATTTTTACTCATGTCATTCATTCCCTTAGCACCTGTTTCATAGCGCGCCTAGTGGGACTTGGTTTGGACATGGGTTGGACCACTTCCTCAACACGCAGTTTCGCCTTCCACACCTTGGATATCACTGGACATTCGCCTCTTCACCTTCCCTGTACTATGCGACGCTTACGCGGCATACGCGACATTCGCGCTTATCACGCACATCCGCGCACCTCAGGCGCCTCAAGCGCGAATGTTCCCGCGCCTTACACAGCACATTCACGCCACACTCGCATCATCAGCCATCTATTGTCATCATGAGTTCGCATCCTTATGCCATCTTGAAGAGTCGCTATCACTTGAATACCGCATTCGTGCACTTCCGCTTCATAAGCGCGAATGTTCCCACGCTTCGCGCGCCTATGACGCCTTATTCACGCGCATACACACATCACTCTCGCCTCATTGCAGTCATCTCCATATCATTCAGGCAGTTGTCACCATCACATCCCCAAGCTTTTGATTGTGTTTGCACACACCAGAGTCACTTCGCGCATTCCGCTGTTCTACCGCGCTTTCACGCCCCTATGACGCCTTACGCCTGCGCCTCTCCCGCGCTTAGCGCGCCATTGTTTTGCCAGTCTCGCCTCATCACATTCGCCTCAGACACACTCGCAGTACACTCCTCTCGCATCACATACCCCCATCACAACTTCGCTTGAGTTCACCACTTGATGCACTGAGTGGGGACACTCAGAATTTAAGCCCCCAGGAGATGTAGAGACTCGATCCTGAGTAGCCTCACAATGGCATATATTGCAACATAGGTCGAGTCTACAGTAATATGCATGCAACACGACACTTGCGCGATAAACGCAACGTTCGCGCGACACGCGCGACTTAGGCGACACTTCCGCGACATAGGCGACACTTCCGCGACTTGCACGCGCTTTAGGCGAATTTTCCCGCGCCTAAGCGCTATAGGGTGCCTGACTTCCCACTGTGTTTTCCCATGTCCAACCAAGTTCCCAGGTATGCATTTCTCCATTTATCATTTATTTCAACATCGTACCATGTTTATTTTCACTTGGTACACATTTTTCATGACACATTTTTTTACTTTACACAACACACATTACCACGGACCACCACCATGATAGACAGTCACCATCTCCGAGTTTTTATTATGTTTTGAATAAATCATCGCAAGCCCTAGTAGCAGTTAGCTCTAGTGGCCATATCCGCATCAGTTGTCTTATCAGTGTCTCAGTACACGTCTTAACATCTCACTATCGCTCGCATACCGCTTTCACCCAGTTCCGCTTTTCGACGCGCGACTATCCCGCGCTTCGCGCGCCTATAGCGCCTTTGTTCCCGCGCTTTCGCCTTATCACGCGCTTTGCGCATTCCCCCTAGAGTTGACCAGTGGATATTTGCTTTCTCCGCTTCCCCTAAGGGACGAACATATCGCACTCATATTTTCCTCCCTTCAACAATTATATCAGCTGCACCCTCAGCTGAGTTGAAGATCCTTCAGCGCACCACTTTCCCGCGGAATGCGCCATAGGCGCGACACTTTCCCGCACAACGCGCAGTATTCCCACGTGCGCGCCTTGCGCGCTTTCTTGCGCTTAAGCACACTATGTCGCACAGCATCCAGGAGCACCCATCCATCGTCCAACCAGTCCCTCAGTATGTCCCTTTTCATTATCTGACCATATTTAGCATATTACACTTCCCATTTCGTTATGCACCCTTACTTTACATCACCTTTCCTCATTTACATACTTAGAGCGCTCCTTATTCGGCTCCGAGCCCTGGGAGAGCGCTTAGGTAGAACTTACATACACTCATGTTCGTTTTACACCCCACTTTATTATTAGCTTCCTACCACCTTACCTTCCTACCACTCAGTATCTATCACCAGTTAGTTCCATGCGATGCATGTGTCCATCATCATTTTGAGGCCCTAGCATCAGTCTATAGCTAGTGGGCACTATCAGTATCCGTCTAGATCCGCACTTTTCCCCTTATTAGTCTCAGTATCCATCGTCTACACTTGTGCACCACTTGCACTACCTTCCTGCGCTCCGCGCACTTTCGCATTCCACTTTCCCACGCACGCCTTCAGCGCATTTCTCGCGCTTTCACCGCCATTCACCAGGGTTGTTCAGCATCATTCCGTGGATCCTTGCTTTCCTTGCTTCCCCTTTAGGGTCGAACATTCTTGCATTCTGCGAGTATAGCAGCTAGGCAGAGCTGAGACTCACTTATACTGGCTGAGCACTTTTCTTATATGTGCCTGCCAGGTTGTGATACCCACAACGGTCGGCCAAGGTGCGCGATGGCCGATCCGACGAGCAAGGGACGGTTAAGACAACCCTGGCTCTTCTGCGAGAGACCGAGGCCACGGATCCGTATCGGCCGAGTCAGACATAGACCGGCGCGACACAGGTGAGTCAAGTGAGTCGAGACTTTGCAAGGAAGTGGTGTATGGATGCGATGTGGATATCTAGGCTGCTTGACTCCTATAGTGAAATGGGGTTCTGCGAGGCTAGCCCGAGCTTGAACACCACAACGAACTTGACAATGATCAGAATGATGTACTTACAGAAGAAGGTTATGGGGCCCTATTTGATCACAAGTAGCACTGAATAGTGCTGCTGCAGTCCAGTTCTGAACCTTGGTTCAAATCTGAACCTTCCCGAACTGGACTGTAGGTTCGGTCCCGATGTAGAGACTCGCGTTTCTGCAGGCACATATAGGCACATTTCGCACCTTTTCACAACTCATGACAATTGGCCTGCAATGCACGACTTGCACCATCAGCTATATTCGACTTCTATCATGTCCCTAGTCGTTTTACACATAACGCGCAGCTTTCCCGCGAAATGCGCCATAGGCGCGGTACTTTCCCACACAATGCGCAGCATTCCCACACGCGCACCTTGCGCGCTTTCTCGCGCTTAAGCGCCCTGCATCGCCTATCATCTAGGAATGTCCCTCTATGTCCACCCACCTCATTGGTACGTCATATGCCTTGCCTCGTGGTTTGTAACAAGCATTGCAGTGTTATTACATGTCATTACGTATTCATAGCACTTATTGCTCCTATCCCTTCCGCTTCCGATGTGATTTCCATAGTATAAAGTTGCTGACTTACTACACCATCATTATTACTCCCCTTTGCTGTACTTCCCTTGCTATTGGGTTTTACTTTAAAGTAGTAGTCACCACTTGGGCGCACTTTGTGTTTCCAATGGTTATCGTTATCCGCCTATACTAGACCTTTATCCACGCTCATTATAACACTCGCTCTGCGTTTGCACTCACTTTGCACATCCACTTCCTTGTCCGTTTCCTTATCCGGTATTCTCCGCACAACGCGCGCCTTAGCGCTCACATTCCCACGCTCGCGCTTACCTTAGTGCGCTCTCTCGCGCTTCGCGTTCACTTCGCTTTTCTTCTTGCGCTTTCGCGCATCCATCGCACTTCAAGGGTCTTTCTTTCATCTGGTTCTGTGTTCAGTAGCAGTCCCCTTTAGGGTCGAACGTTCTTGCATTCTGCGAGTATAGCAGCTAGGCAGAGCCAAGACTCACTTATACTGGTTGAGCATTTTTAGATATTTCATATCAGCCCAGCCAGGTTGAGATCGCCTCACCGAGTTCGACATATTGTAAGAATCAAACCCATTATTAGGTTCAGGGTTCGGCTGATGCCTGAAAATTGTGAACCCATCCGAACCCATTTGAACCGAGTGGGCTCTGTAAGTATCTATCTACCATCACGTTGTCTTGCTACTTAAGGGTCTTATGTACAACGTGTGTATAGTGACAACACAACTGTACAGGATAAGACTTCTTGCCAGTCCTTGAGTACACGGTCTACGAATTTTCTAGTTTTCGTGGTAGATAATGTGTGAGTTCTTGGGAGGGTTTACTGACGTGTCCTCTTCTTGTTGTTTCCCTGGTGGAATACTCGTAGATTCCCTAATGTTCTGATGGTAAGATCTGTTTCAATCTTGTAGGTCGTGTCTCAACCTATGAAAGTCTGTCTCAACTTTGTCATGTCCTCGTGTCTCCCTTCCTGAAAAAGAGAGAGTCTGTCTTAAAATACGTGAAGCCTACTTAGAAAGCTGTTCTGGTGTTGTATACTCAACCCCTGTAAGGTAGTACACAACAAGTAATGAAGTCTGTCTTAAATATGTAAAGCCTAGTACGAAAGCTGTTCTGGTATTGTATACTCAGCCCCTGAAAGGTAGCACACAACAAGTAGTATATAAATAGATTGTTATATAAGCGACCCCTGTAAGGTAGTATACAACTAATCTCTGATACAATATTTATCTCACTTCAAGGCACTCATGGCCTGCACTTGAAGTCTTACGGACTCTCACGGTTTGAGAGAAGAGTGAAAAGTGGGAAGTTATTATTACTCAGTGTAGAATGGACTCCTTTTATACCTTTTGGGAGGCCATTTTACTAAGCATGACTCATCACAGCATTAGTAAGTCACTGGCTTACTAACCATGCCATTTGGCAGTGCTGAATCAGCTGCTTACAAAGTAGTTTACAAATAAAGTTCATAATATTACAAAGCATGATGAAGCATGACGAAGCATGACCAATCATGACAAATCCTTACAAATCAGATTATTGCCTATCACATGACATGCTTACTAACACATCTTGGTGGCTCACCGGTGGCTGAATAAACCACACAAAAGAAATGAAAAGAAAAAGGGGAAAGGTGAAAGCTATCATACTGGAAATATAAATACAAGTAAATCTGTCAAAATGGAACCAATCATAATAATACAATGAGGTACACCTTAGTGTACTCTCTGTAGCTACTTCCTGTCTATCAATGTCATGGTATGAGTTCCATACCATGCATGACAACGTCATGCTGTGTTGTTGTTGCATTCTGTCTTCTCTTCACAGCTCTTTCTGTCTGCTGCATTCTTGCATGTTCATGTTTTGTCTCCTTTTGATGGTTCTTTGCTCAGTAGTACTATGGCGACCTCTGCTTCAGAATGTCCATCTGCGTACAGGCCCTGGAATGCTGCATTCATCTCTCACCAGTTTTACTGTGTTTGTCCTCTGTTCATATTTCTTAGGAATTTCTGTGCATCTTGTGTTTGTATTGTATTGTCTCTAATCATTGATCCAATGTTCGTTTTCAGACAGCAGTGTGAAGTATTGTGTCACTGTGTCAAGTCTCAACCCCACCTTATCAAGTCCAGCAGCCTCTGTACTATGTACTACCATGTCAAGCCCCAGTCAGGTTGGGTCAAGCACTACCCATACTATGACAAGTTCTCCTCAACATATTCGCAGCCTCTGTACTACAGTATAGGACCGGTCCTTTGCCCACCCCCACTCCTTTACCTGCCTCAGGCAAAAATTATTATTTCTTCATTTTTTCATATCAACATATAGGAATATATTAAAGATGAGGCCTCAATGGACATTTGTATAGTATACGATGAAGAATTGATGTCCATGATGTTGTGCATGACACAAATCAGTTGATTTTTCCATCCCAAGTGAATTTTGTCGAGAGCCATAGTACATCAATGATTTTTTTTTGAGAAAAAGTGGCTGGTACAATACAAAATATATACTTTGAACATCATTTTCACCTGCAACAGATTTGTGAATACCTCCTTTGTTCCTTCTACAAAGTACATAGATTGAACAATGGTACTTTTCAAAGGTCTTATCTTGGGGAGCTGGTCACACATAGTTCTCACACTATTCAACTTTCAAACTCTAAACTTAATCACACAGCATATCACTGACAAGCAGCAAAACCATGGTAGGACGAGCAAAATCTAATGCAAAAAAGGCAGATTCTACGAGAAGAACATGATATGATTATGGCCCAAGCAGTGGCCATTTACCAGGCTGAGCTTGAAAAGGAACCTACAGAGGAGAAAAAAGGAAGACAAATGGTTTGCCAGGAAGTCGAGAAGGCATATCTCATGGAGACAGGAAGAGTCATAAAACTCAGTGATAGGACACTTGCAAATCTGGCAAAAGGTGGTAGGAGGCTCAGCGACTTCAATGCAGAGAAATGTTGGCTCACCCCAGAGGAGACAGAGAGAGTAATAGAGTATTCCATTGAGATAGCACATCGAGGATTCCTGCTCAGCCACAAATGACTCAAGGAACACGTTGATGAAATTCTGCATGCTCAACTTGGTGGTAAATTTCCTGAAACGGGTGTTGGCAAAAACTAGGCAACTGCACGGGTAAACCCCCGGGTAGCGGTGCTACTACCCACACCCACACCCAGAGGAATACCCATACCCTCGAAGTGGGTCTGGGTTTTTGCGTGGGTGGATGGGTAAACGACCCGCACCGTGACCCATCAAGGGTATACCCATGGGTTGCATTCAATTTGAGAAATATGTAGTAAAAATGTACCTAGTCTATGTTAATAGCATCCCACCCATTGTCTAACTCCTGCTCCTCGTCACCCTGAAGATCTGCAAGCCCCGCGACAGACATAACATCCTCCATTTTGACTAGATTAAGTTCGCTCCAATATCCAAGGCACAACAGTGCACGTGTTGACTCTGCTGATAATCGGGAGCAAACATGGGAAAGGAGAAGACGCTCGACGTCCACGGAGGTAGCTGCCATAGTCATAGAGTTAGTTCTTTACTACGAAAGGTGAAAAATTTCGAAGAAACAACCTACCAGGTATAGTGAGATAGTCTAACGCCATGCGAGAAAGGTGCGGATAGATGTTGCACTGTTCATACGACCAAGCAAGGGGGTCCTCGACATACTCAATATCAGCGCTGAGGTACTTGTCAAGTTGGTTGCTGGGGTGACTTGTTGGGGGTGCAAGAGCAGGGATACTGTCAAAGATATTGCCCTGTAAATTCAGTTAGCGAGTGCACACAAAAGCAAAGACAACTCACTGAAGAAGCCTCCGTTGCTATACCATCATCATCTGTCTCTGAGTCCGCAGGTGAGACCACCGAGTAAGAATGCTCATATGTCTCCCTCACAAGGGTCTTGGCAGTCTCAACCCAATCGTCCTCCCACTTTGCATGCCTGAAATATGCGAGTTTGTGGCGCGGGTGTAGAACTACATGCAAATAAAGATCAGAAAAATGATATGAGTCGTCAACACTTACCCATGGCGATACGGTACACTTCTGATGTGTCCGTCAGTTGGTAGTACCGGTTTAATGTTCTTTTGCCAAGTCCAACGGCCGCACGAATTGAGGGAAGAAACCACTGGTTCTGAGAGTAAGTTGTCAGTTTCTCGTCGATTAAGTCCATAGCCAGGATAACAGTCGCCAAGTTTGGAGTCGAACGGGAGAAGAAAAGTGTAGCGTCCTTGAGGATCTAGGGTAAACAGAGACAATGAGTTAAACATGTGACACTAAACAATACTATGTTCACATACCTTCAAGATATCCCGCAATTGCTCCGCAATTTCCCACTCTTGATCTGTCAGCTCAAGATGTCGCAAGCCCAGGTCTCATTGCTGGGTAACAGCGTCAATTGCCTCTCGATGATTCAGTGCATACTGAATCATGTCGAACGTCAAGTTCCAGCGAGTGGAAACATCCCGGGGGAGTGTGGTAACTTTCATTTCCAACCTTTCCAGAATTTCGTGCCATGCTGGGAGCAGTTTCGTCGTTGAATGAATGATCTTGAGTCCAAGCTTGCGGAGCTAGGGAACATGTTGCATTTAAAGGTATGTTTTATGATACGAGCAAGACACCCACCTTTGCAAGCACTAATTTTACTGGACGCATGCTGTTTCTCAGGTGTTCTCGCTCATCGTCTGTCATCAAAGCAGCCTCATCAACCAAGCCGTCCACGTCATCCACTGTCATCTCCATCCTGAATCTCATCAACATTTTCACTGAGCCCTGCCAATGCTGCCTCTCCCTCCTTCTTAGACACCTCAAATTCTCGAAGCAAGGATTTTGCTATGAGGTTTACCATGTGCAAAAAGCATCTTGTATGCGACGCTGTCCCACCAAAGTCAGGCAGTGTCTCATGGAGTTCTTCAATCATAACGGTATTGTTGGATGTGTTATCGCATGTGACAGCAAGGATCTTTGTTATGGTAAGTCTCGTTGTGTACACATTTCCAACAATTTGACTAACTTTTTCTGTTATTCTGAAATCTTCTAGTATCTTTTCAAATTCTGCCGCCAATTCCTTACCAGTGTGCGACTAAGATCATCAATGACATGAAACTTCGGTAAGTCAGATGCTTACTTTCGGTACCTCAACAATATCTAATGGCATGCTCAGTGGCACCCCCTTATGTTCGAGGTGCGCAGACACAGCCACCAATGCTCGGTGGTTTGTCGAAGTCCACCCATCTGTGGTAAAATTTATTTTACCCTCATGCTCCTGCCGGTAAGTCTATTATATCTATTGTTGTGTGCATTAATTAATTGATGAATGTGCCTTTGTCATTTTAGCAATGCGCTGCCTGGTTCTAGTGAAGACCAGCTGAACATCACATGACATGGTCGCAGGAGAAGGTAAGTAATATTCAGGTTGTCCTGTCTTCATAAGAGACTGAAATCCCCTGTCTTTGACGATTTTGAATGGGCGTAGGCTTTCGGCAACCCAACGAATGATTTCTGCCCTGAGGAACATGACTATGTTAGCCTGTGAAATGTTCAAAAATGCTTTCAATGTACTTGGTCTCAGTTCTGGTATGTTGGCGATGCGAGTACATCACTTTCCCCTTACCCTTTCGCTCGAACGAGGCTGTAATTGAGGTTTCATAGGATTCCACCAACAACCTTGTCCGCACCTCCTCGGCATCTTTTGCTTGGTCCGCAGTTTGCAATACATCATCACCCCAGCAGGCTTTCACATGTTTCCCGTGGACCGTGCATCCTTTTTGTCAAGGAATTGACGAATCATAGTCTTGCAGCCTCGAGTGCAGCACTTAAAGTGATGTGCTCGACGTCCATCATGCTCAATGATACAGGGTTTGGGCTCGAAGAATGCGTATATGGGTGAGACCCACTCTTTCATCAGTCGTACTATAGTTTGATTAACAGATGGTTTTCATTGAAGGCCATTGTGCATACCTAGCTCATCTTCAGTGGTCTCGATCTCTGGACTCCCTTCCCGAGACTCCTTGCCTTTGTTTTCACTCTCATCACTGTCAATCGTGATAGCATCCTTATGTAATTCAGCCTCCTCCTCCATGGTATGCACTGACGGAGTATCTGTAGCGCATCTGTTGTGTGGGGTACTTTTAGCCTTCTTGGACTGGCTTAGTACTGCAACTGGCCACACTTGCGTCGATCTTCCTTTTATTTGCCGAGGGAGCATCAAGCTTCTCTTCCAGGGCAGCTTTTGCCTTGTCCGTAAGTTTGATTACTTGTTTTGCAGTTTTTGAGAATAGGTTTGGCTCCATGATGGCTATCTAGTAGGAGGGCGCGAGGTTTGTTTGGTGGATATAGTGACTGATCCGATAGAATTTTTTTTACAACTGTACAGTACTAGTAGCCAAGTTCTATTTTAGGTAGTGATATATCACGACGTTGATTAGCCAAGCCAAGTCAAGGGTACGGGTGAGGGTACGGGTGCCTCAACAGCAGACCCCCACCCATACCCAGAGAATACCCACACCCATCACCCGCACAGGTTTCCAAAACCCGTGCAGATGCCTAGCAAAAACTGGATGGACTGTTTTGTGGAGAAGTATTCAAACAGGTTGGGCACCTACTATGCTCGAGGTCTTGATAGTGCCCATGGTCGTGCTGTTAACCCTGCCACAAAAGAGGCATATTTCAGTCTTCTGCATGATACTTTGTCTAAAGGAGATGATGGCAAACCAATTGAGCCCCATTGCATTTGGGCATTTGACGAGTCTGGTTTCCAAGGAGCTGATGAGGGAAAAGAACGAGTGATAGGAGCAAGTGGTGCCCATACTGTGTATGAGTGTCATATACCATATATCCGGTTACAGATCCCGATCCAGATCCGATGAACATATCCGTCATCCGGTCCACAGATCCGCTGAAGGATCTTCAACTCAGCTGAGGGTGCAGCTGATATAATTGTTGAAGGGAGGAAAATATGTGTGCGATATGTTCGTCCCTTAGGGGAAGCGGAGAAAGCAAATATCCACTGGTCAACTCTAGGGGGAATGCGCAAAGCGCGTGATAAGGCGAAAGCACGGGAACAAAGGCGCTATAGGCGCGCAGCGCGGGAAAGTCGCACGTCGAAAAGCGGAACTGGGTGAAAGTGGTATGCGAGCGATAGTGAGATGTTAAGACGTGTACTGAGATGCTGATAAGACAACTGATGCGGATATGGCCACTAGAGCTAACTGCTACTAGGGCTTGCGATGATTTATTCAAAACATAATAAAAACTCGGAGATGGTGACTGTCTATGATGATGGTGGTCCGTGGTAATGTGTGTTGTGTAAAGTAAAAAAATGTGTAATGAAACATGTGTACCAAGTGAAAATAAACATGGTACGATGTTGAAATAAATGATAAATGGAGAAATGCATACCTGGGAACTTGGTTGGACATGGGAAAACACAGTGGGAAGTCAGGCGCCCTATAGCGCTTAGGCGCGGGAAAATTCGCCTAAAGCGCGCGCAAGTCGCGCAAGTGTCGCCTATGTCGCGGAAGTGTCGCCTAAGTCGCGCGCGTCGCGCGAACGTTGCGTTTATCGCGCAAGTGTCGTGTTACATGCATGATACTGTAGACTCGACCTATGTTGCAATATGTGCCATTGTGAGGCTACCCAGGATCGAGTCTCTACACCGCTTTGATTCTTATTTCATTTCCTGTTCATATAACTCTAACTATCGTTCATCTCCTTTCAGTATTCCTGTACACCGGTATACCAGTTATCCTTTACTTCCGCTTTGCTTACTGATCCGCTACACTTACGAATCCGCTTTTACTTGTACTTCATTCCCGGTGTAGAGACTCGCGTTCCTGCAGGCACATATAGGCACATTTCACACCTTTTCACAACTCATGACAATTGGCCTGCAATGCACGACTTGCACCATCAGCTATATTCGACTTCTATCATGTCCCTAGTCGTTTTACACATAACGCGCAGCTTTCCCGCGAAACGCGCCATAGGCGCGGTACTTTCCCGCACAATGCGCAGCATTCCCACACGCGCACCTTGCGCGCTTTATTGCGCTTAAGCGCCCTGCATTGCCCTGCATTGCCTATCATCCAGGAACGTCCCTCTATGTCCATCCACCTCATTGGTACGTCATATGCCTTGCCTCGTGGTTTGTAACAAGCATTGCAGTGTTATTACATGTCATTACATATTCATAGCGCTTATTGCTCCTATCCCTTCCGCTTCCGATGCGATTTCCATAGTATAAAGTTGCTGACTTACTACACCATCATTATTACTCCCCTTTGCTGTACTTCCCTCGCTATTGGGTTTTACTTTAAAGTAGTAGTCACCACTTGGGCGCACTTTGTGTTTCCAATGGTTATCGTTATCCGCCTATACTAGACCTTTATCCACACTCATTATAACACTCGCTCTGCATTTGCACTCGCTTTGCACATCCGCTTCCTTGTCCGTTTCCTTATCCGGTATTCTCCGCACAACGCGCGCCTTAGCGCTCACGTTCCCACGCTCGCGCTTACATTAGTGCGCTCTCTCGCACTTCGCGCTCACTTCGCTTTTCTTCTTGCGCTTTCGCGCATCCATCGCACTTCAAGGGTCTTTCTTTCATCTGGTTCTGTGTTCAGTAGCAGTCCCCTTTAGGGTCGAACGTTCTTGCATTCTGCGAGTATAGCAGCTAGGCAGAGCCAAGACTCACTTATACTGGTTGAGCATTTTTAGATATTTCATATCAGCCCAGCCAGGTTGAGATCGCCTCACCGGTTCATGATTCATGATCCATCCGACTTACCAATACGCTCCACTTAGACTTTGCTTATACTTTCGTTCATAGCCTCGCACCTTTGCTTATTGATCATTCCGTTAGCTATCCGTAGTATATAAACCTTTGTATATGCGCTGTAGTAGATCAGTTTGAATATCATCTTAGATTGCACTCATTCCGTCTGGACTCTAAGTCCCCCTGTTATCTGTCCGGACTTGAGTATGCTACTCTTGTCTACTCCGAGACTTAGGATAGATTCCTATAGTCTACATATCCGCCTCTGTCATTCAGACAGTCCTCACCCGTTAGTTTCTAGTCCGGATCCAATCCGGATTAGCCGTTACTCTATACGTTCGATATCCGGAAGTCTTAACGGATCCGTTGCGATACAAGACTTATCCGTTACAATACTTATCCGTCTCACTAGACGCGATACTTTAGCTCTCTGAAATAAGGGGCAAGACTCGGGAAAGGGGCACAGCGCACGAGCTGAGGCCGAAGCCCTTCGGATCCGATACTACTTGAGTATGGTCTTAACAATGAGCAACAAAGTGGGAGCAAGGAGCTGACAACTGTCATTGTCAGTATCTGTGCTGATGGAGAGACAGCGCCACCTTGTGTTATCTTCAAAGGAAAAGGTTATCACACAAACTGGTGTCAAGAAAACCCCGCTAATGCATCATAAGCATTCTCGGCTGTTGGTCCTGCTAGTAATTCTACTAAAACAGTCCTTTAGCCTTGGATATTCTGCAAAAGGATGGACTGACGGCGAGCTTGGACTACTTTGGATCCAACACTTTGATGAACATACTCGAGCCAAAGCCAAAGGCTCTGCACAACTTCTCCTTGTTGATGGTCACTCATCTCACTACACACGAGCTTTCTTAGAACATGCACGCACACATAACATTCATGTCTTGTGCTATCCATCTCATAGCACCCATATTTACCAGGGTCTTGACGTCATTGTCTTCAGCAGGCTGAAAGCTTTGCTGGGCAGAGGAGAGAGCCCAATGGAAAAGGGAACGTGGTGAAGAGCTTTCAAAACAAACTTTTAGCTATCTATGGACATGCTCACAACCGTGCACTCACAACAGAGCTTATCAAAGCCACATTCGAGAAGACAGGGGTCCACCCTTTCAATCCAGATGGTGTTACAGAGGAAGTCATGGCACCAAGTCGAGAGACATCATGTCATAGTCACCTGCCACTTGTTCAGACGACGCCAGTCCACATTGTGTCTCAATTGATTCGGAGGGCAACTGAAGTGCTATCTAGTCCAGCATGACCAAAGTCAGGCTCGAACCAATATTCAGAATCTGCACAAATGGCAGTCAATAGCTTAGCAACAGCATCTGCAGCATTCCTGTTTACCTTGAGTCCTATCTGCTCAACATCCAAAATACCTATGTACATGCCACAGACGGTGTCGCCGCCGCAGTACAAACGGTATGGGGAATTTTTAAACTGTCCTGCCACGACCAAGGCAGAGCATGAACTCCAAGTTGCCTTGCTGGAGTCAGAGCAATGTGAGGAGGAATCTAAGCACCGAATGATTGGCTTACAGGCAGCATCGGTCCTACAAGTCAGATACTGTGATCGAGTACGTGGTCAGCTTGCAGTGCAGGAAGACAAAATGGGAAGGAAAAAGGGTACAAGGCTCATCGGTGATGGCTTACCTCGTATGCTCACTGGTGATGTATTTGTGGCACAGGTTATCACACATGAAAATGCCATGGAGGCAGAAGCCAGAGAAAAAGAGATAAGGGCCAAGAGAAGAGCGGAACATTCTGAAGAGCTCGCACATTGGAAAACGGAGGAGATAGAGCAGAAAGAATGAAACCGAGCAACAAGAGCCATTTTTGAGGCACAGAAGGCTGAGTGGGAAGCAGAATGAGATTTGGCGAAGTCGGAGAAAACAGAGGCCACAGTGGAACAAACCAAAGATGGGGGCAATCGAGAAAACCCGTGTCAAGGCCAGAGTGAGCTCAGCCTGAAGTTTATGAGAGCGAGCAAGAAGACGATGGGAAGAAGAGGATTAATCTCACGAGCGTGTTTAATCTAATCATTGCCTTTTGGATTACAAATTTATGGCATTGCGTGATGTTGACATCTAAATTGAGGTGGGCAAAGGACTGGTAAAGTCAAAG